GTCTAAACTGCTCGCAACAAAATCGAGTAGCATATTTTTCACCTTTTTATGATATTTATTCACAAATCTGAGTAAGAACAATTTTGAATTTCCAGTATATATTTATAATTCCTAATAAAATTGAAGTTTCTTAATAATCTTATTTTACAAAGTAGGGTGCATATGTTTATCTTTCTAAAGTTGATGATTAAATTCAGATTCATAATTAATGTTTGGAATATATTGTCATTTTCTTTAAAAAGTGATTAAAAGGACTGTCATTACTTTATGGAATTCATTTCTTTGGGGGATTCATTCTTGCAATGTCCAAATATTCTAGTCATCTCTCCTGATTAAATGGCTCATTATTAAATGGAAAAACTTGAAACAGCACATTCATTTGCAGAAATTCTTATTTTCAATTCTCAATAGAACTTTTTCACTGCACGCATGGAACACATTAAGATTAATGGTTCAGAAAAGCTTACAAAGGGGAACCAACAGATTTTTCAAAGGCTCTGTTATTTCTAAAGAGAGTCCCAAATGCCTTTGTCCTTCACAAACATGGAAGTAAGGTATATACAGTACGAGGTAAGCTGTAATTGTCCATTTAAAAATAATAATTCTTTAAAGACGTGGATTACTTCCCCTTTTGAAAACCCAGTTTCTTTGATGTCAATGCATTCTGTGATTTTGAAGAACTGACCTCCTCAAAGTGTGGGTTTGTGGTGCCATGGATGAAAAGCATTATAGTGACACACAATTGACTTGATTAGATAGATGCAATGGAGTCAAAGATTTAATGAGGTGCTCTGGTGTGTAATCAACCTCACTAATGGGTACTCACTTTGAGTATATTATTCAACAAAGATGAATTACTTACAATAGAAGAGTACAAAATGTAATATTTGTAACATTGTACAACTAAAGATTTAATGAGCCAGCCCTGAAGCCATATCTTATTTCAATAGCAACTAAACTAGCTTAGGGGACATTTGAAAGTTGCTTTATTTTGTGTATACCTTGTTGACTCAAAATGTTACCAGGTTTAGAATGAGCAACAAAGGGAGTGTTTCATATCATGTATTCATATGCATTTTACAGTAAAAGAGATGTGATAACAGAAAGTTTAGGAACCCTTGGCCTAAATGGATGGACCGAGAAGGACTTCAAGTACCATAAAACTTAGATACTCTAGAAAAAAATTCAACATTAATACTTATGCAACACTGAAAATCATATTACTATGCAACTAAGGTGTATTTGTTCCTTTTAAATTAGACAGAAGCACTCTGTTAAGCAGCATTTCATTAGGTTATTGGCAATAGTTGTCATATCTATAATGTTTACAGTTCTTTGCCTGTTTGTTTGTTTTTTTGAGCATAATCTATTTCATTTTCTGGACTTTCAAATATCTGGAAATGCCAAAATTTAATCAGAAGTTGCAGAAAACAGTTTATAGTTATAGTTCTATGTTGTCGCTAACCATAGTACACTGACTTCAGTGGAGTTCTTCTGTTTTGCTCTTTGTTTTAAAATGATCTGTCTACAGTGGAGGGGGTGATATCAATATATATCTTACTCAGGCAGAAGAAAAGGCAAATAATCTAATAACATTGGGGTTATTTTGGTTAGTGGAATTGATCCTCCTGTGCCAAGCTTTAGTTATAGAGTAACTGAATATAACTCAGAAGAAAAATGTAAATTAATCTTGATAACTTTGGTTCAGAAGTTCTGTTTGAAATAGAATAGATTTCATTTTATCATGATAGTCAGGGCATCTAATGAAATGAAGAGAGGACTAAAATCATATTGAGGAGAAAGACATATGAAGAAAATCAACTTCCTAAGAATGCAGCATTTTTCAGCTAAATATTTATTATTTGGCTTCATTTCTGCTGGCAGTTAACCCTCATGTACTTCACTATTTTTTAAACAAGATTCTTATTTCTCAACAGTTTCTCTTGATAATTTCCTTTGATTCTTACTCTAAGACTTTAGCTATAGTCAGAGGTATCATTGCTGTCAGTCACCCAACTGTAACAATAAAGCCCCTTCGCAAGGAAACTTCAACTCCTTCCAACCATATAGCTTTGGATTCTTTATTTGAAAACAAGGCAAATGATTTGAAGGTATCACAAGTTTCCCATCTGTCAAGGCTTGTAGAGTATTGGAGAACAACATGCAGCTTTTAACCAGTTTGCCTATGCAGTAGTCATCTGATCTTTATAACTGAAAAAAAAAATTCTATCCACTTCAAATAATCTACTGAAGACGCTTATCAAATTAGTGTCAAATGAGATCAAACCATGAAAAATCACAATACTTGATAATACATTAATGCAGAAACATTTATAAATCCAGAGTCATCTGATACATAGGAACGGTAAAAAATAAACTATACCCTCAGGTGAAACTCAGGGAAAGAAAAAGAAGTCACAACTGGCAAACCAAATAAGGAAAAGTAAGATCGGGAAGAGCACTGTTATTTCTAAGCAGGCACCTTAATTTAAGTATAATAATCTTTTAAAGCTTTTGGGAACAGCTGACAAAAAAAAAAGGCAGACCAAAAAGCCACACAGTAAGAAAATAGAAGCAAATACAGTACCTTAAAGAGGAAGAAAGGTCTTTAATAAGGTTAAAAGAACAATTCAGCAGTGTACGATTGCTGCAGGAGACTCTATAACTGAACAAACTCATCTAGAAAATAGCTCGACAAACTTGCCTCAGTTCATCTGAGGTCTAATAGAAAAGTTCCATGCGGAAGGTGGGCCCTGCAACTAATGAAAGTTAAATTGGCTTTTATCAATTGCCGAAATCCTACTGGCTTACTCTCGCAGATGGGAACAAAGATTGCATCTAACACATCCAGCTCTCTCACACACAAACCCTAAGACTCATTTCAGATAATATTTTAAAGGTGGAATTACAGCAGTGGATTATAGCTATTGTGTGTCAGCAAGAGCATCAATAACTTTTGACTCTATTAATAAGGCACAAATGGTCTATTAATTTAAATACCTTCTTCAGGCAAGAGGCCTCCAAGTAACTAGAATTTCAGCAACTTCTAGATAACACTCATTTACATAATCCAATCCTAGACAGGATTTTCTTACCTGAAGAAATAAGAGTTTACACATACGTTTAATGAATTGCCCCCTATGGAACAAAATCATATCATAGCTGAACTGCCCTGGTTTAGAGAAGAATTGATTAATAAACAGGTACAATTACCACCTATAATTTGATCTTCCTAACCTCAAAAGCTCTGAAAAGGAGGGAACAATTCATCAAACAATGCAAAATAAGAGGAGAAGATTAAGAGCAAGCTCTGCAGCATGGGACAATCCATCCCCCCCCCTTTTTTTTCTTTTCTTCTTAATGTTTTTTCCACATGCACAGAGTCTGATTTCTTTCTCTTTTTTCAGATGAACAAAATGTTGATCCATTTGACAGAAATTAATTTGACAGAAAACAGGAATTAATCCATTACATGAAAATCACATAGCTTCTTGCCATAGAGATCTAGGAACCTCACAACCACTTTCATTTAATTCTTTAAGATTCAATCACAACAATATTCACCAAGCAGGAGTCTAAATGTGTCTGGTGGATTTGATAAGCAAATAATGAGGTCAGACTAAGCATCTCAGATGAAATAACATCATATCTTGATCCAATGGTTACTCAGGACACAACATTATTGGTATTCAAGGAACAAATAAAAACAAAGCTCCCATTGTGTTAAATCAAATTGATACCAACAGCGACCAAGTTATAAATGAAACATATTGACTGAACATTGTAACAACTCAGTCTGAAATCTGTAGGTGACTTATCCAAGCCAGGATGAAATATGGCAGGAAGGAATGCTCAATCTACTGACAGATTTCTTCTTTTTGAATTATGATAGCAAATAAGATTGCCCAATACTCTGAAATGTCCATATGCCTGGATACTATTATCTTAATGGGTGATTTTAATGCAAGAATGGGGTGTAATAAGCATAAAACAGCAAAACGGTTGAAACATGACTTTAATGAACTACATTTTAGTTTCCCTTAGACTGCTAAGTAAATCTGGCAAGGCTTAAACTCCTAAATCTACTTTAAAATGGAATTTTAAAATTTTGAATTAGTCTCCCTGACGAGATTTTCCCAGCAATTATATATGCTTATCAATAAATGTCCTGTGCCAAAATAGGAAAAAAAAATCAAACTATGGAGGTTTTTGTATGAAGCTATAATAATCTATCATATTCCAGTGTAATGGTTTTTAAATCAGTGGAAAGCAAAAGTATATAATGACCATAGACCTGCATTAGAACTCTCTGGCCAAAAAAATAATTTAATGATCCATTAATTTAGCTGATAAAATCACTGCAATACTTCACTCAAGCCATCTGGCATATATTTAGCTTAAATTGACTATGCTGACCCAGCTTCTCCAGCTATCATGAGCTACTATCAACAAATAGTTGAATAGTTACAATCAGAATTCAGGCAAGATGGCCCTAAGCTAACATTGTTTAATAGAAGCTTACTTTGGTTCAAGTATTTAGTAACATAATGACCCCTCTGATCAATTTCCCCAGGAATGCAAACATTATCTGAGATGCGTTATTAATGCCACCTTTCTGAGAGGCACTCACAAAACAATGGCAATTAATGTCGCATTTCTTAATATCCCCTAAAATACAGCTTCTAAGGAAATTCTTTAAGACTTTACACATATTGCCCTATTTCCACTTCAGCACACAGAACAATACTGAAGCCTCTCTTGAAAGGAAATAGTCACACAATCACAATTAGGATGGTTGTCAACCAGTGTATATTTAGGGCAGGCACAGCAACACCATTTGCAACCTTCACAGTTGGTCTGAACTGATTTGCATAAAATTGACTCTTTACAAGTAGTCCTTATCACAATTGGGACTGGCAACTCCATCATAAAGCAAAGTGATTGCTAAGTGAAAAATCATATGACTGTGCTTCTGATATTACTTCAACTTCTCTTTACAGACCTGTGAAGCTCATAAATGCAGACATTGGTTGCAGAGTTACTTCTTCGTCACCATCATAACTCAGAGCGGTTGCTGTCTGAAGCAGTTGCTAAGTAAGGTCTACCCAGTGGTGGGTTCCTCCCTGTTCCGCCCGGTTCCGCCAAGCCAGTAGCAGTGACGATATGACATCACCGAACCAGTTCTGTCCCCCCACCCCCACCCCCGCGTTATTCTTACTTTTTATTTGGCCCCACCCCCAATCTATTGCTGCCTCCTGAGTCCCAGCTGATCAGCTAGAAGGAAAAAAACTGTTTAAACTCTTGCCGTGGGGCTTCAAAGGGCCGCCCTACAGCTGATCAGTGTTAAAAGGCAGTGTGGTGGTAGACAGTGTGGTGGTGCTTCCAAAAACAAATGAGTAGACTGGTGCCTGCAAAAATAAATGGGTAGACCAGTGCCTCCAAAAACAAATGAGTAGACCAGTGCCTGCAAAAACAAATGGGTAGACCAGTACAGCTCTGCAAGCAGTTAAAAGCCTGGTAGACCAGTACCTCTGCTAAATCCTAAAGAATTATCACATGACCATCAAACCACACCCACAAAATAAGCCATGCCCACAAACCAGTAGTAAAAAAATTTAGAACCCACCCCTGGGTCTACCTGTAATGAATGATTGACTTACAATATTAGTTCACATTGCAAATGTTAAATGAATCCCCGCATGTTAAAGGCAATATTATCTTACCATGACTTGCAATTTCCCACTGGTTTCCCCATTGACTTTGCTTGTCAGAAGCCAGCTGTGAAGGTTGCAAATGGTGATCCCATGACCATGGGATGCTATGACTGTCATAAATACACACTGGTTGCCAATCATCCTAATTGTTATTGCGTGACTGTAAGGATGCTGCAACGGCACAACTTCAAGGACCAGTCGTAAGTCTCTTTGTTCAGTACCATCATAACTTTGAACAGTTGTTGAATGAGGGGTTGTTAAGTGATGACCACCTGTACAGTGGTATTTATTCAATACTGACTAAAGATTGTCTAAACTCTAATGTTTATATTGCTTACATCTTAGATATTAAAAAGAAGAAGAAATTATGGTTTCTGGAATGTTGATAAGCATAAATTGGTTTAAATTTTGCATCCAAAGCTAAATATGGAATTAATCACTGCTGAAGTAATTTTTGGCACAGCAACACCATATTTGAAATTCTAATTCTAGATTCATCCTTATACCTCTTAGACATTAAGTAAATCATGTTTTCATCTATTCTAATAGTTGTTAATAAAATGTGGAGTCCCAATTACTTGTATTTTATCTACTGGATTTTTTTGTTTTGTTTTGTTTTAATTGCTGCTAATTTTATTCGACTAGTTCAGTAGATTTATTTGATATTTTTGTTGTTACTTGTATGAGAATGAGAATGTAAAAGTATACTTAACTAGCTGGATACCTGTGTTCCACTATGAAACTATGTGATCGGGCTTGATAAATTGACACTTAGAGTTTGAAAATTAATGAGTAGTTACGATCGGCCTCTCCTCTCCACTTCTCTCCCTCAGGCTAGCCCCACAGAAGCCTCTCCTCTCCTCTCTTTTCCCCTTCTCTCCCTCAGGCTGGTCCCCTAGATCCTCTCCTCTGCTCAGGCTGGCTCCACAGAAGCGTCTCTTATCCTACCACCTTCTCTCCCTCAGGCTGGCATCATAGATCCTCTCCACTCACCTTCTCTCCCTCAGGCTGGCCCCATAGATTCCCGCTTGTTGCAATATTTTCAGGATCAGACTCAATAAGATTAGCAAGAGTTAAAGGCTTAACTATATATTCTTTTATTTACAGTAGGCATTCTATATTCACTGAATATTCACAGATAGAAGCAAGGGAAAGGGTGTGGGTAGCTCCTTATATATACAATGGGTGGAGCTATATGTGGGAGTGGTGAATTATGAATACATTAAGAAGTGAAGAATAAGTTAACCCCTGATACCCTGTTTGTACACTATTTACACATTAGAGAATAAGGCATTTACATCTGACAAATCCCCCTCTAAATGCCGATTCGTTATACAGCACCAGTTACATTCAGATTCAGGACAATACAAAACATACAACTTGGAGGTTAAATATTTGTGCTGCTTAGAAGGTAAAGGCTTTGTCAATATATCAGCTAATTGTTCTGAAGTATCGCAATGCACTGCTTTAATAAATCCATCCTGAGATAGTTGTCTCACATGTTTAAATTTTATATCTATATGTCTGGACCTTTGTCCAATGGCATCAGATCTAGATATTTCAATGGCTGCTTTATTGTCTTCATGCATAACAAAAGGTAAAGCAGGTTTTTTCCAAACATCTGAAATTAAATCATTAAACCATACAAGGTTATTTGCGGCTTTGGATAAACAAACATATTCCGCTTCAGTTGTTGAAGTGGCCACTAGCTCTTGTTTACCAGTGTACCAGTAAACTGGACAGTCATTTAAGAGAAATACATAACCAGATGTGCTTTTTCTGCATGAGATGTCTCCAGCCCAGTCTGCATCTGCATAACACGTAAGCTTTGGTTCTTTATTATCATTAAGTTCTAACATTAAACAAAAGTCTAGTGTACTTTTTAGATATCTTAAAATTCTTTTAACGGCTTCCCAGTGATACATTGTTGGTTTGCTGACATGCCTGGATAATAAATTGAGTGGTAAAGCGATATCTGGTCTAGTCCAATTAGATATATAAAGGAGTGAACCTATGATTGATCTATAAAATGTGTTGTCCTTGAATTCGGGAGAAGATTCATCAGTATTTCTTAGAAAGTCAGTTTGCATAGGAGTATCACAAGGTTTGGCATTGTTTAAATTACATTTATTTAAAAGTTCTATGATCTTATCTCTCTGGGTAAGTTTGAATCCCCTTTTTGTCTTATTAATTTGGACACCAAGGTATTTGTTTACCTTGCCTAAAGATTTCAACGAGAAATGCTCATTTAATTTAGTTACAAAAGTTTCTCTTCTCTCTTTATGTTTTCCTATGTATAAAATGTCATCCACATAAATCAATACAAATTCAATGTAATCATGACCCCTCTTGACAAAGAAACAATTATCAGCAGTGGTAGCGTTGAAGTCCATGGTCTTAAGTACTTTTACTAAACAATCATACCACCGTTTACCAGATTGTTTTAGCCCGTATAAACTCTTGTTTAACAACCAAGTCTCATTTCTGTTTGTATATTGACTGTGAGGTGCTCTTACGTATATTTCCTTATCTAGTTTTGCGTGTAGGTACGCAGTCTGTATGTCATATTGGAATACATCAAGATTGAGTGCTGATGCTACCACTAGAGCTGTTTTGACACTCTCTGTTCTTACGGTGGGGGAATACGTGTCAGTATAGTCCTCCGGATATTTCTGTGCATAACCCTGTGCAACTAATCTAGCTTTGTATAGAGTATTGCCTCCCTCTAAATTCTTAATTTTATATATCCACCTGGTACCAATAATTGTTTTATCTTTAGGTGCAATTGCAGGTGTAAATACATTTAGTCCTTGTAAACTTTCCATCTCTTTCTTCATTGCTAATTCCCATTTTTCTTTTTCTTCGCGAGGAAGTTTTAGCACTTCCTCATATGTATTAGGTGTTGTTGGTTCACCATCCATATGCATTACATAATCCTTGTATTTATTTGGCATTTGATTTCTGGTGCTTCTAATGATTTTTTCGGGTTTACTATCGTTATCATGCAAATATCTTGCTTCCTTTTTTGTCAGTGTGTCTGTCTTTATTTTGAGTTGGCTATTTGTCCAAGTCTTGGTTTTGTTCTTATATTTGTTGATATTTTGCTTTTCTATAGTCCCTTTCTCTTGAGATTTTGTATCTTTATATTTATTTGGGAATATTTCATTAACATGTAATTTAGACCAGTTGGCTTGTTCATGGAACACAGCTGTTCTGGAGACTATAAATTTGTTATTACTATCAATGAATCTGTACCCTTTAGTGCCAGTCTCATATCCCATAAATCTGAGTCTTCTGGACACGTTCTCTCCCTTTCTTCTTAATTGTTTAGGTATGTGTACGTCTGCTGTGACTCCAAATATATGCATGTGTGCTAATTTTGGTTTTCTATTATACATCACTTCATATGGTGTCTTGTTTACAATGCTGGACCATGTTCTATTTTGTGTGTAATTTGAATAATGTAAGGCTTCTGACCAGAATTGTTTGCTTAAGCCAGCATCTTCCAATGTGCATCTAATCATGGTTTGTAATGTGGAATTTTTCCTCTCTACAATCCCGTTTTGGAACGCAGAAAATGGACTAGATGTGTAATGTAACATTCCTTTGTCTTTTAACCATTGGGAGAATTCTTTAGACATGAATTCGCATCCTCTATCTGTCATAATTTGTTTTATTTTGATGTTGTGTTGCGTTTCTATGCGTTTGTAAAATTCTTTAAATTTTTGAAATGTTTCATCTTTGTGTTTTAATGTATAAACAAATCCATAGCGGCTATAATCGTCCACTATTGTCAGGAAGTAACGTTTTCTATAAGTGATTGATGGAGTTAATGGACCAACTAAGTCCATGTGTACTAAATCAAAAATTTTGTTAGTTGATCTGGTAGATTTTCTTGGCCTGGGACTAGTTTTTAGTTTTGTAGATTTACATACTGAGCATTCCAGATAATTTTCACAATTTTTTATTTTAACACCTTCTGCGTGTTCAGTCATTTTTTGTACTACAGGAAAACTGGCATGTCCTAACTTCCTATGTAAGATGTGAGCACACTCATCATGAATTGGTTTACCTATTTTTGGCCTTTTATCATTGTGTGCATCTGTGTGATCATGAGATATTTTACATTCATCATTGTCACTGTTGCTAACATTCTCATAATCTATTTCAATACAATCTTCCATATTTGAATCAATGTTATGTAACCATCTTTCTTTTGTTATCAGATAAGGTAGGCCTCCTTTAATCATCACAGTGCCTATATTTATTTTATTCTTTTCCAAAGTTGCCTTTCCTTTTGAAAAGACAATGTTAATGTCAGAATCTCTGCTTAGTTTTATGGCACTTAATATGTTATGAGGTATTTCAGGTATTAGTAAT